TTTTGTGCCTTTGACTTTGGATTTCAAACAAGCTGATAGCAATGTTGCCCTTCTGTGGGGATTTAATTAACCCACTGTTTTTGTCGTTTCAATTACAGTAGCCCAATTTAACCAGCCCCTCCACCAATACTTTGAAATTACTCTGCTGAAAAGTTGTGCTGGAGTCATGCCTTCAGCCTTGGTGGGCAGTGCTGGCTGGTGAGGCTTCCGAGCCGGCAGGGAGGCCAGCTGAGTTGGGGTTCCTGCTGTGCCTCCTTTGAAGGCAGCACCCCATGCCCCCTGCAGCTGTTGCACACCGGCCCCCCCCCCGCCGCCATCTTTAAACTCCACAGCCCGCACCTCACCCCCGCTGAAGGGTCCTCGGTGGAGAGAGGTCTGAGCTCTGTTAGTTGGGTTTTGATTTCAGTAAAGGAGTTGATAAAATGAGATAAACCCCAGGCTCACGGGGCTGGGGAAATTAAACAGAGATGATATCAAAGTTCCCTTGAGTTTTCAACTGTGATACAGTAGCTTAGTTTTCTCCCAGACTGGGGCCGGGAGGCACGCCTTTGATTCTGAAACAATGCTCAGCATCAGTTAAGCCCAGCACAGCTGACTTTTAGGGATTAAGCAAACTGTTGTAGCAATTCTTTGATCAGCTACAAGGGAGCAGTGTGCTGTCTGTATGAAGGGGCTTTATAGTCAAAGTTCATTTCTCTGTGAACCCGCGAGGACAGCGAGGGTGCCGTGCCGCAGTGCCCGAGCGGCCCCCCCACCCCGCCACCCCACCACCCCCACCCCAGGCACTGTTTGCGGCATTGCAGGCAGAGGCAGGAAGCGGTTTTCTACCATCCAGCATTGTTGCATAGTGCCCACCCAGCATGACATGGGAAAAATCCTCCTGGCTTGGAAAACACACCTCACCCCACACTGTACACACGTGCGTGCACCCTCACTCACCCCTCCCACCTTGCAGAGAAATCCTCCTGGGGTGGCACAGAAACAGAGCAAGGCTCTGCAGCCCCCGGGGCTTGCAAATGATCTAGCAGAGGCTGCCTGGCAGCCGGGTTAGAGACTGGGGTGGGCATTGGGACCAGATGACCTCCGAGGTTCAATAAAGAGAACCGGCTCAAGGTCACTGCGCTCGGCCCACACCCAAGAGCAGCCCGACTCCCAGTGCTGCCACCCGCCTTCGCTCCTTACCTGGCACTTGCTGAGAACCCACTTAGTTTGAGTTGGCCCCATCCCATAGCTCGGAGTGATTTCAACATCCGTTATCTTGTCATCTGCAATACTGGGTCAACTTTTGGTTTTTCACTGTAGAGGCGCAGCCACCGCGAGCACGGTGGAAGTTTTGCCAATTGCTCCCTCCCCCCGCAGTTGGCCCTGCGACTGGCTGTTGGTAATGGAACCCCTGTGTGCTGTCGATGGGCCCGCACGCACCATGCATCAACCTATTCCCTCCTGTGCAGTGCTCCGATCTCCCTCATTAGGCCTAAATTTACCTCCGTCCTACACAAACATGGCCTTAGCTCATTTTTATTGTTGTAAATTATTTATGAGGGAAATGTTGAATCTTGAAACTGAGGTGTGAGGGAAATGAATCCCCTGTTACTTTTATCTTTCTGTACTTCTCTTCCCCTCGCTTCACTCATTGGGCTATGGCGACAGAAAGGAGGACTGTGGCATTTTAAATATAATTAGTGTTGAAACTGCTTTCTCAGTCGGATATCGGATCGGATGTTGGCCTCTCCCTGCACAGTGTTGGGGAAAGCAGACCAGGCTGGGGAAGGAGGATCAGAGGTCCTGTTTGTCTGCCAGCTGCATGATGTCTGAGAACTCCAGGCCTCAGGCTTTTTTTTTTCCCCCTGCTAACACAGGGATAATACAACCCAGCCACCTCCCAGGCTTAGAGTGAGCACTGATTGAGACGGAGCCTGAGAAAGCTTTAAAAAAATTTTTTTTTATCTTCACCAGAGGACTTTTTTTTTATTGCTTTTTAGAGACAGCAGTGGGGGAGGGGGGAGAGAGAGAGAGAGAGCAACATCAGTGTTAGAAAGAAACATGAATTGGTTGCCTTCTCTTATGATGTGCGTTGACCAGGGATCAAACCCACCACCTGGGTATGTGCCCTGACCGGGAATCGAACCCGTGACCTTTCTGTCCACAGGATGACGCTCCCACCAACTGAGCCACACTGTTGCAAGGAGGCCCTGGAATTTCGTGTTCCAGACCAGCATCGCCTCTCACCAGGCAGACGGGTTAATGTGGGTTTTAAACACCCTGCCCCCAACTCCACTCCCCTCCCCGGCAGATTTGCTCTGCAGGCCAGCGTTAATGGCCTCTTCTCCCCCTCACAGAGGCCTGGCCTGTGACCCTGGGCAGCTGAGTACCGGGAGGCAGTGCCATCCCGCCTGGCTCCGAGGCTCCACCACGGCCCGGGAAACGCGGAGTGCTAGTTAATAAATGGCCTTTTGTTAGGAAGGTCAATTGAAGTGACGGTAGAGACGCTGTTAAAAGTAATTTGCAGTCAGAAAATATGTAATCCAGGGCAAGCTGCTTTGAGTGATTGCCTCTGCCATGGATATCTTGGGCGTTTCTCATTAAAAGCTTCCTCTGCCGCTGCTGCTGGTGGTGGTGGTGCTCCCGCCACCGCCGCGCTGGCCTCAGCCCCGCGCAGCAGCGAGGAGTCATTTGTCTGCGTTTCACAAAGGCTGCCTTGATCCCCAGGGTACGGCCACTGGGTGGGGGGAAGGAAAAAAGAAGGCGTGCGAGATGCTCTGTGTCCCGCTCAGCTCAGCGCGTCCTCCCGTCCGCAGGCTGGGCTGCGAGCGACCGCGTGCGGGCCCAGGCCGCCGGTCCTTTGTCTGCCCGGGCGGGCGGGCGGGAGGCAGCCCAGCAGCCATCTTGGAGCCTGCTGCTGGGCTGCCTCCCTGGTGCATCCTGGGAGCCGCATCCACGCTTCCGGAGCGAATTCCTCCGCTGCGCTCGAGAGCGCGCTCCCGAGCGGGAGACAGCCGTTGTCATCCGTGCCTCGTGGAGGCTATTGTAACCCGAGGACGGGAATCTCTCAGCAAATAAAACATGTCTTAGTTATTTCCATGCTTACCTCCTCCTCCCTCTCTCTCAGACAGTAGAGGCAGTGCTATCTTAATAAAAAAAAAAAAACTTACCTCGCATGTTCTTTATTAAATTCACAGCGTGATATTTCAGCACAGGCAGAATTCATACATTCTGTTAATGAGTTGTTAATTGCAAAGCATTTTGGTAACCAACAGCAGGTACCAATATTTTGCACACTGCAGCATTGTTATTGTTATGTGACCAATAAGGTTTTCCATGTGAAGGTACTTTTTGATCAGTGTGTGCTTTGGCTCGGGCAGGTGCCGGTCTTTAATTCTAAACCTCCCTTATCGGGGGCGTGCATGGGTATCCGCTCATTAACTTTTCTTTATGCCTACTGTGTGCAAGGAGCCCCAAACCCTGTGCTTTAACGCAGATAAACCCCACCTGGCAAGTGCAATTTGAAAACAGAAGACGAGGCAGGGATGTGGCGTGGTTTCCTGGGCTCTATCCTGGGCTTCCAGAAGCCTGTTTTCAGTAGAATTAAGGAAAGCGATAGTTCGTTTGGCTTTTGTCATAATCAGGTGCCGTGAGCACGGCCGCTGTCAGGCTAAGAAGCGCCTGGAGTGGAGACTTGGCTCCGCTACATCAAGTCTGTTTCCGGAGCCTTCTGTGGGGTCCGGGGAGGGGGGTGCTGATTGCACGAGTGACTTGCACAGAGCAGTTTGGTTGTTCCTATTTAGGAGGCACCGTCATTTTTAATAGCCTCTGCCTTTTCTGATTCTGGGCTGAGGACCGAGAGTGTCCTTCCTGCCTGCCTAGTTAGGCAGGGTGTTTGGTGTGCTCTAGAAGCAGTAACCAGCCTTGAGAGACCTGGCAGACCCGCAGCCGGTGGAATTTAATTGCTGCAGAAGGAGGTGGAATTTAACTCGCTCTTTTTCAAGGCTTGTCCTTTTACAAGTACTAAAAGTCATTTGCATAAGGTGTTACCTTTATTTGCTTTCTGGTGCACTGCCACGCGAGCTGCCCAGACCCGGTGCTCTCCATATACTGCTTGTCTCCTCTGGTCACATCAAGAGGCAGTGAGCTGCAGAATGATAATTCCATTTCCCTCCCTTTCTCCCAAAGTGCCCAGCAAGAATTATGGGCATTGTTAGTGTTCAGCTTTGAGTAAATGCCCGAGACCTGTGGGATTCAGCACAGCCGAGGGGCCTGCCAGTCCTCTCAGGAGGGGCACCCACCACATTTCTGGTCAGTTACACCGGACCTGTGCACCCCAGACTCCGCCAGCGTCATCTGCTTTTCGCTGGGCGCCTACTGTGTGCCTCCAGGCCCTTCCTTCACGTGACTCTTAGCTCTCACAGCAGCTCTGCAACCTTCAGTGCTGTAGCTCCCTGCATGCTCGAGGTCCTGGGTCCTGGGCCGAGCACCGTTCCTTCACCTCTGCGCCCAGAAGACACTCCTCCCTGCGTGTGTTTGCAGAGCCCTGCCGACTGGGCAGTCCACCATCGGCTGCGGTGGAGACCAAGGGTTTGGAAGGCTGCCCCTCCGTAAGGAACTAGAGTAAGGGAGAGACAGGCCAGGTGGTTCTGATCTGTCCTCGGAGAAACCTCTGGTGTCTGCTCAGAAGTCAGGCAGCTGGATGGGAGATTTGAGAACACTTTGCTGTTGGTTTTGAGTTCAAATGACCCACTCAGAGAAGGGACAAGCCCTCATTGGCTGTGTTAGCTCAGCGTTCCAAGCTGCCTGGAGACGAGTAGGGGCCAGGCGTGTTTTGAATTCCTGATCTGAGGAAAGAGTCGGGTGAGGTCAGGGCTCCCGTGGTCGCCAGTCCAGGCACCCAGAGCTGAGCTCAGGGCATTCGCCGAGAGCCTGGTCCTGTCTGTGTGAGACTGTGCACTGTTCGCGTCAAACGCTCAGTTTGAATTTTGTGCTTTCTTTTTCCTTTTCGGAACCAGGACCCATCCACCATGCCTGAAGTCAAAGACCTTTCGGAAGCCTTGCCAGAGACGTCGATGGACCCCATCACGGGAGTGGGGGTGGTGGCCTCTCGGAACCGAGCCCCGACAGGCTATGACGTAGTAAGTCAGGGGGCTGCTTTGTGCCTTTTGTTCACGGGTTCCACAGACGCGGACCTCCTGTGCGCGAGGCCCTCCCAGCCTCGGGCGTAAGACGGGCTCCTTCCCTTTGGGCACCGCAGCGGGGAGGGAGGAGCCCCGGGTGGGCAGGCCCGCGGAGTGTGCTGGGCTGGGAGTCAGGACACCTGAGCCTGTGCGGGCTGTGCCCAGAGCCCAGTCGCTCCACCTCTGGGAGGCTCATTGTCACCTTCTGCAAAATTCAGGGGTTGGGTCAGTGGGTTTCCAGTCACTTCTAGTTGCGACATTTCAGGAAAAGGATTCAAGAGGCGGAAAGACCCTTGGCGTTTGTCACTGGTTGTCCCACGTGTGTCAGTGTCCTGAACGCATCGCCCTACGACCGCACCTCTCTGTGCGGCGCGCAGAGCCATCTCCCACCCCGGAACTCGGGTAGCGCTCACGGTCACTGTGGGGTTGGGGGGCAGGCAGCTTTATTTCCACTTTGCTGATGAGGGGAACCCACGCCCTGGGAAGTGAAGTGGCAGAGCCCCTCCCCCTCCTTGGGGGTGGTGAGTCAGGACCCCCCCACACCCCCACCCCCTGCCCATCAAGTCCCTGCTGGGACTGACCACACCACCACTGCTTATCAGGGACCTCGCCTCGCTTTTCAGCAGACATCCGTGTGTTCAGTAGTGCCGATGGCTGGCATCGGTTATTTTGTTGTTTCAATAGATAAATTCCGATTTGGCTGGAGCTTTAAAAAAAAATGCAGAGTAACATTTGGAGGGTTTAGTACAGTGTTCAGAGATTCTGAAGTGGTCTTATTTTCACTTTCCTCATTTTGTTTTATGGCTGCATTTTATTCTTGCTCATTGCACATGTGTACCGAGAATACATGAGAATAAAAGAATGAGAGCCTTGGTAGCCAGCACAGAACCTGCGGCAGGGATTAGAGTAGTGTTTGATGTCCTGGGCATGGTGGGGGTCGGGGGGTCGGGGACGGGGGTGGGGGACAAGGCCTGGTCCAGGGGGACCCCCGAGGCAGTGCTTCTCAGCCTTGGCACTACTGACATCTGGGGGCAGGTGATCAGACACTTCTGTGCCGTGGGATTGCCCTGAGCTCATAGGCTGTTTAGCAGCATCTCTGGCCTCTACCTCCTGGATGCCAGTGGCACTAAGCCCCCAAGATAGACCACCAAAGACCGGGTCCAGAAATTGCCAACTGCCCCCCAGGCCGAGGACGGGTGTGAGTGGGCAGAACCAGCCCTGCTGAGAAAAGGGCCGTGTGTCTCGGGTCCGCCCAGCACCGGGCCCTGCGCGAGGAGGGAGAGGCCCGCTGAAATGCTCCCCATCACTCTCCCAACTGTTTGAAAGCTCGCAAACATCGTAAAAGTGAAAGAACTTGGGAGTCTTTTTTGACAAAGGTTTGAGTCTTACCTCCTGCCCGACTTCAGAGCACCGCTGGAATGTATAACTCGCTATAAAACAGAATCATCAGGTATGGCTCTGTGCCATAAAACTCTTGGGGAAGCTAATAAAAGTGTTACCGATCGGAGAGGCCAAAGTGTCTCTTGATGAATTGGACACGAAGCGGCACAGCCTGTGTGTGCGGGGCCGGCCGGGCACTCTCGCTGGCTGCGAGGACCAGCCCCTGGGCTGCCCCCCCCCCCGGGGGACTCCTGCGGGGGCTCCCACCAGGGCCTGGGTCTCCCGCCTTCATGCTGTGCTGCTTTCGGTTGATCTGTGTCTCTCGCTTCTGCTTGCACCCTTGGGGTCACCTGGAACGCTTGGCCGGGGGGCGGCAGGTGGCCTCCTGTGACAGCCCGGTTTTCCGGAAGTCTCGGCAGGCCTGACAGGAGCGGGATCCCTCCCCGGGCTATCATTTTCCCCTAACATCTCGCTCAGGGCAGGAGAGCGCGGTGTCAAGCGAGGAAAGTTAATAAGCGCATCTCATGATGCGCTGGGCCGTGCATTACGGTGGGAGGTGAGCAGGGCGGGAGGCTGCAGGGGTCAGCCTGGCAATCACCCAGCCTCTGCGCCGGGGCGGGGCGCGGCCGAGCTCCCCCCGGAAGCCCTTGCAGGGACAGCGCTGGAGACAGCTCGTCGCATTGACCGCTGGACTCTTCCAGATAAGCTCCCGGTTCGCCAGAGGTCTGACCCTGAGTTCAAGGGCCATGGGGGTAGCGGAGGGGTGGGGAGAAGGGCTCCCCGTTCCCTTTATCTGGAGCTCTGTGTGAAGTCCTCTTCACCCTGAAATGTTAGGTGTTTTATGGCGGCTGGGCGCAGTGGTGCTGGGCCAGAGCTGCCGTGGCCGAGGACGCCGTGCTGCGGATTGCGGGGAGACCGCTCTCTGTCACATCTGCCGTGGGAGTCACCCGTCCCCGCGCGCAGCCACAGGAAGCACCGTGACTGCGCAGCCCTGCGAGGCAGGCACCAGATGGACCGCTGACCCTGGCCAGCGTGGCGGCTTCTGAATGAGCAAAGGCCCTGTTGATGCTGAAAGTAAAAGATGCCAAACGTTTGTCTGTAATTTTGTAACTTCTCTGCAGGCCAGGCGCAGCGTCTCAGGCTCGGGGCTGAGGGTTACTGGCGAAACCGCTCCTCCGTGTACGGTCCCGATTCTGCAGTCCTCTCTGGAGGGGCCTCCCCCTCTGCTCCGTGGCCACGCTGTCAGGCCTCAGAGTGGCCGGCAGCCATGCTCCCTGCCGCCGGGGTGGGCGGGTCTCGAGTGTCCTTGTGACGCCGCAGTACCTGGTACAATGGCTGCCGCAGAAGGCTGGTGCTTGCCCCAGGTCGTACCTGCTCCTCCGTCACCTGTGGAAGGTCAGTTTTCGGTGACTCGCAAAGCCATAGGAGCAGTTCACTCTAGAACTCCTCCGCACAGAATTAACCTGTGACTTCCGAGTCACGCTGGGAAGCCTCAGCAGCCAAGGGCATCAGGTGGACCTCACTGAGGACCATTTTGGGTGCAGCCCTTTGTCTGTCCAGTGAAGTACGTCCCGTCTTTAACAGGCCTTCTGCCTTTCTGGAAATTCTTTTGTCTCTTTACAATCCAGAGACTAGAGCCACAGTTCTGTGTTTGCGAGGAGACTCACACTTTCCAGACAGGAGGTCGTCTTCTTCGATGATGCCCTTTTTGGGAACATACTCGCACACGCTAATGTACTTTTGAGGGGGGCAAAAACAAAACAAAAAGCCCACAATACCGAGAAAGAATAATCACACACTGCAGAGCGGTTTGATTTAAAATGTTTAACTCATCCAACCTATTTTTGAGCACCCATTACGCCCCGGCTGGATGCTGGGGAGGCTGCAGCGAGTGCAAGCACGCGCCGACCCCGCCCGCGTGCCGCCCGCAGTCTGGAAGGGGAGAGGGACAGCGGAGCGAGTCCACAAGTAAACGTGAAATAAAATCGTGATAAGTCCCCTGCGGGGAAGCCCTAACAGACCATTTTTATCTCTCACACCTGGCTTTGCAGACCCATCCTTTTCTCTTGCCGAACCCCAGATTACGACGGCACGGCACGGGCCCCCTCCAGCTTCCTCCCAGACACCGCCCCCTTCTGTCCCTGGAGACCGCCCACTGGGGTGTCTGTCCTCCAGCTGCCCCGAGCCTTTCCCAGGGCACCCCCTCACGCGGGCTCAGGCTTCTCCAGCTGCACGGTTTTCGCTGGCGATGTCTGTGAGGTCACCCTTGGCTGGGCAAATGCCCCGCCCCCCCCTCACCTGGCCTGAGCGGGGATGGACACTGCTCTCCCTTCCTCCGTGACCTTTCGTGGGTTCCCCGACAACAGCTGAGACCAGAGGCACTTTTAACGAGACTTTCCTGGAGCTCTGAGGATGATGGGGAAGCGAGAGTAAAACCGGGAGAGCTTGGATGCCTGCTGCTGAGGCCCAGGCCGGCCCGACCCCGCCTTGCCCAGCCTCTGCTGCACCGTCGGCTGCCCTCACCGCCCCCGCCAGAGCTGAGTTCCCAACTGCCCCCCAGAGAGCCCCGGCCTCCGAGGGACTCGGAGAGTGTTTCTCCTTCCTCACCCCGGCCCCAGAGTCCTCCGTTCCCTTCCCGAGGAGCCCTGCCCTGCACACCGGAGTCTTTCCGTCCCAGGGGCCCTGAAGTGACCGAGGGCCCCCGAGTTCAGTGACTGTTCCCGGACGTCCCGGTGGGGGATTCTCGAGCTTTCCATATTGTTTCGTACTTCCAAGTTTCCCGTGCTCCTCTTGTTCTGGTAAAATTGCACTCACCCTTCAAAACCCAGTTCAGACAGCTTCACGGGGCCACCTGTCCTGGCATTACTCATTCACTCATTTATTCGTGCATTTGTGACACAAATGTTTATTGACTACCGGCCTTTGTGCAAGGCACCGGGAATGCCAGTGTTCTGGAAGGTTGGGCCCTGTGAGGTGAACGGTGAGAGATGCGGATGGACAGGAGGACAGGGCCAGGTCCCTGCCGAGCACTGTGAGGTGCCCGGGGGAGTCCGGCCGGTAGCGTCAGCGGGAGTTCCCGAGGACGTGAAGGGGCAGCGGTCCCGAGGGGCCTGCTTTCTGGGGTTTGTGTGTGTTGTGTGCCGCAGGGGCCGTGACCGGAGGGCGCAGGCACCGCGGCGGGCACGGGAGTGTGGGGGCCTGTGTGTGGGCGCTGGGCGGGAGGGTGGCGGCCTAGGCCCTGAGCAGTGGACGGGGAGAGAAGTGGCCGGATCGGAGGGGCCGAACACACGCTCTTTCCCAGAGAAAAACAGATCCAGTGCAGGGGGGTGGGTGCACGGGTGAGGAGAGGGGAGGACCAGCATGACGCCAGCGTGTCTTGCTGGGAAGCTGGGTGGGCGTCGATGCCGTCAGTCAAGACGGGAACGGAGGCCACCGGGCGGGTTGGGGGGTAGAGGGCAGTCAGGCCGGGTTTGAACACGCCGAGGCCGAGGTGTCTGTGGGGCGTCTAGGTGCGGGTGTCGAGCAGCCCTAGGTCAGAGGTCTGGGCACCGTCCCCACGTAGCAGAGACCGGGCGAGA